GTTGTATGTCACAGTTTTTTGTATAAATTAGCATGCCTGTCTTATACAGCGAAGCAACGCATTTTTTTTTTCCCATATTTTTTACCCAATTTTTGGCTGAGATCTGACCATTTCATTTATTCTGACATGGAAAATATTTAACACTACCATTTTCAGCCACTAGAGGGCCTTCGACTAATATGGCAAGCCAAGTGTCTCATTAATAGGTAAAAGTGGCTATTAATGAGACACTTGGCTTGCCATACCATGCCACCTTCTTCTCGCTCTGGAACTCCTGGAGCAAACGTCAAATCAGCTGCATTTTGCCGCGCCGCCCACGTGAAATGCAGCTGATTTGACCGTCAAAGTGCATTTATTAAGGAAAAATTCAACTGAGACACACCTTTACTATAATGTTGAACAAATAATTGCTTTTAGGTGGTTATCTTGTTAAATTTCGAAGAAATGCACAGCGAGTCGTCCCTTTGTGCGTTCCTGTTTCCCCATATCGGCTTTCAAAATGCAGCTGATTTGACCGTCAAAGTGCATTTATTAAGAAAAAGTTGGACTGAGACGCACCTTTTCTATAATTTCGAGCAAACAAATAATTGTTTTTAAGTGTCAATCTTGTTAAATTCTTGTTAAAGTGTTCCCGTGCACGCTTCCGCAACCGCCATTTGGCAGCCAATCGATTTTTGGCACAACACCGGCCCACATTTCCAGGTTGTCAACGGTGACGCATAATAGATGCGACTTATACGGCAAAACGACATATTTGTGTGGTTTTTTTCCACTTTATTAGACACTTTTGGTCGCATCAGTGCGGCAGGTACGGTACATTACAAACATGTTTATTGAACTAAAGAATGTGTCATGCATCCTTTAGAGGTTTTTTTATGTATATAATTGAATTCAGTTATTGTGAAGTGAAAACAGAAGGCAACAGAATTGAAAATAACATCGTATTAAATGTTTTTGTTGCCAGCTGCCATGAATCAAATCAATTACAGATGGTTGCCACATCTGGCCTTACAAAACCCCAAAATGACTGTAACATAGCTGTTTTGACAGATACTGGGTTAAAACATGCTGTGGAAGTAGCTGAGCATCATTCCCATCACATACGTTGAGCACAACTCGCATCAACTGTTCCTGTTTGTCTGCTGGCAAACTATCTCAAATCACTGGATGAAGTTCACTGGAACTCAAAAAGTAAGCAAAGACTTGGCTCTTGTTTGAAGACCTTTATTCAAATTGTGTTGCACACAAAACTGTACTCGGTAGTTTATTATATTCATTCAACCTTTATTTATACAGGTTATCAGTTTGTGTCGTCTCAGTGGTGTCAGTTTATTTCCCATTAAATAGAACAGATGATGAATATGTAAAAAGACAAATATTTAGCTTCTCCTGCTCAGAAATCTTAAATTTTAGTTCTGAAAATAATCAGTATATTGTTGGAAAATGAAAATAATTCTTAGTTTTTGCACTCCACCCACCCTCAGCTGCCCCCCGGTTGTGTCTGTCGGTGTCTCGGTAATTAAATCGGTCCTCACTGGGACGATCGTCTCCGGCAAAACTCATCTGCTTCCAGTTCAAAGGAGGTGACGAGAGGCAGCAGAAGCCAACAGGGATTAATACTGCAGGCAGCAGCCATGCAGTTATCTCACAGCCACTTCCTGCCACACACACACACACATTAACACCTCCCCCTCCGCTCCTCTCAGCACTGGTTCTTCAGTTCCTTCACCTCCATCTTCTTCCTCAGCGTCTCTGTCTCTACAGTGAACTGCCGTCACACACAGTGATGAAGCTGCTGCTCTCATTGTGGATTCTGGATTTCATACCATTAAAAAAAAATGTTTTGAGCAACCTCATGTTCAGAGCTTGTTGCTGTTGATGCCTGCCAGCTACTTTCACACAGAGTTTAGCTCAGTCTCTGTAAAACTAACAGAGTTATAGCAGTGGCTCATGTCAATTAGCTGCAACAGCAATAACGAAGTACCTTAAAGTGTCTCCTTTCTTTTTTTTTTTACTGACTGACTTTAACTTATTCAACAAAATACAACACATAAAACACATTAGACAACAAAATACTGACTGTTTCTAGGTTTGGTCTGTACATTGATCTAGCTTATGTCACCAAGTGTTGGCTTTTATTTCCAGTTCAGTTGTAAAACGTCAGGGCGAGCTCTTCTGTATGTGGTCAGGAAGTGTCACCCCAGTCCTGTCAACCAGCTGATAACTTGGAGCCAATAAAACAGCTTCTGACATCTTCTGAACTTCTCATCTCAGAGACAGTTGGGAAATAAGAAACCCCACCGAGGAGTGATTTCCTCAGTCTTGTCACTCGGGTCAACAGCTCGCAGGTGGAAACGGACCTAATGACCTGCAGCACAGTGGGGTGGCTGTCTCAAGTCGTTTTAATTCACTTGAGCTACTGAGTCTTGACCCGGCGGACCTCCTGTGGTGAGCCATGAGCTTGTCAAGGCTTTAAGGCTCTTCGTTTCAGTCGAAACCTCTCATCTTGTCCCTTTACAGTGCTAATTGGCTGTTCATGTTTGTTGTAACGAATCCATTTTGAGTGGTATGACTGCAGGTGGTCAGGTCTGACACCTCTACATATTTAGTGGTAAATAATGTACCTGAAAACCTTTTGCAATCAGATGTTGCGTACCTGCGCTGTATGCAGATACACGCACACAGTGGGCTGTCAGTGAGGACTTCATCAGGTCTGCTGATAATTTGTAAAAACTACAGAGAATTCAGACATCTAAACTGTTACGCTGACAATAACACGGGTCAGAACTAGGCCTGTCACGATAAATTCTGCTGGGCAATTGTTTCAGAAATTATTGTGATAAACGATAAAATTGTTTGAAATTTGACAATAATTAGTAATTATTGTCAAACAAGAAGAAATGTTTAATTTATTTTGAGTGTAGTGTAGTTTGACCACCGGATAACAGTATAAAACTGACCTGAAGGATGGATAGTGAGGGAGCGAGCAGCGTGTCTCTTAAAGAAAAATGGGAGTGAGGCCCCTTGACGTGACATGGGCTGTCTCTCTTCAGTTCTCGAAATGACGGACACTCGGTTTGAGCTCTTTAGCATCGCATTTTTCACATAAAGCTTTTAATAAAAAAATCAGTAAACAAGTTCTCAGCTTCTTTTTGCAGAGAAAAACAACTTTTTACACAAATACACAGATTTCAACTGTGAATTTTGGAGCTTTGACAAGACGGAGGTCCCCCCCCCGAGCTCTGACTATTAGCTTAGCTCGTAGCTTAGCTTCTCAGCTTAGCTGCTTCTAACGATCTAAAAACGCAATTTTGGACTTTAAAACGGATTTTAAAGAGAAAGGGAGGAGTCAGTGAAGAGCACTGGAGTTGAGCTTTTTGTCATCTAGTGTCTTCAGTAGAAAGAGAGAGACACGGAGAAACGATAAAGCCGATAAATGAAAATGAGGTTGATAATTTCATTTATCATTCGATTAATGGATTTATTGTTTATCGCGACAGGCCTAGTCAAAACCATTCGTCATGTTTTTGCAGTGTTCTCTTGATAAGAAAACACAATAGTAGTGGAAAAAGGGCAGATCTGCAAAGATTAGTGACTTCACAGAGCTCAGTGTCAAAGCAGACTGTAACCCTGTTTACATGACGTGCTGTTTGAAACTGGAGCTTTTCTGTCGCGGTTCAGCAACAACCCTCGTTCTCTCTGAAACCAAAGGTTTCTCAATCCAGGTCTGCGTGGAAGTTGTCAACCCCTGCAGAGGTATGAAACACTCCACAGATGTGAAAACGTGCATGCACACTACATGCAGTCAATTTTTCTGCACTAACACAGAATCGGTATAACAACTGGCAGAGTGTTTTTTACGCTACTCGCCCTTTTTCAGCGTGTAGGAGCAAGCCAACAGCATCCTAGGTTTGAAGGAGCATTTGTGTGTTGACCAGTTTAAATGCAAGTGTGCTCATGCAGACACTGCATGCACAATGCAAGCAGATGAGCCCAGCGTCTGTGTTGCCAGATGAACATAATTACATTGTTTGCCGCCTCCTTTTCTGTGCATACGTTCGTTAAACACAATACACACCTCATCTTAAAACACCCTCCTTCCAAGACCGCTCACCCTCAGCTCATGTGATGGTTTGGGTCAAAATACAATAAATTTAAAGTGACTATAGTTCATCATTTCCTATCTGGCAACCAGCCTGCTATGGAAACTTCAGCAGGTTAATATAAACAGTTTTTTTTCTTGTTTATTTGCTACAATAAACATTGAAGAAACAGATTTTTCTCATGTAAACTGGGCTTTAACCTGTAAACTGCCTCAGATTGTTGTCCTCTGGTTGACACATCACATTAAAGCATGCAGGTCCTAAAACACTCGGAACAAACGTTAAACCAAAAACTCACCATACATACCCTGTTTATGATTTAATCATGATAATCCTGACAACGTGAATTATAGAGAAGGATTTCAATGCACACTTCATTTATTTTTGTTTCACTCATTTTATTTATTTTTATTTTACCCCAAGTCCTCCGCTCTGCTGCTCGTGTGGTGTCACGTCAGTTCAGCTGGAGGTCCTACAGCTTGGCTCTGGACAGATTGTATTCACGCTACTAAAATACGGGTTAGGGTTAAAGGGGTCCAGGCCACTTTTGAAAAAATATATTCAACATGCATTGATTTAATCCAGTCCTGTATTTAGTGCTGTCTGGTCACAAGTGGATGGCTCCAAGTTGTTTTGAACTACAGGTCGGAACATCCATCCATTATTCTTCACACTTCTTCCTTTTTGGGTCGTGGGGGGCACCCTGGACTGGTCTCAAGTCCATCACAGGTCTGAACAACCTCTTATAAAGAAGACTAAACATAGAGGGGTTGTTTTATTGTATTTCATAGCTGGTGCAGTTTATTATCTTCTCCCATCTTAGCTAATGAGAGCAACAAGTTCTTAGGGGTCTGATTTCTTCACATCCAACTAATATTTGCATCTTTTCTTCTTTAGTCCTGGACTGGAGAATGACTGATCCAAACCATCCCATGAACGCTCTGATGCGCCTGAACCAAATCCACCCGGGCCTTCAGTACCGCCTTCTGTCCCAGTCTGGTCCAGTCCACGCTCCCGTCTTCACCATGTCTGTGGAGATTCAGGGAACCACCTACCAGTCCACTGGGAACTCCAAAAGGACCGCCAAGCTCCAAGTCGCCCTCAAGGTGCTGGACAGGTTTTAAAAGGAGCCTAAATGTTTAACAAGTCGAGACGTTTTAGTTTAATAACTCCAAACAGGAACATCTCTTTGAAGCTAAATACATGATGGATTAAATAACAGAAGAAGATTAGATTTAGTGGTTTAGATGTTAGAAATTTAGGGTTTTATTTCATGAATCAGGCCACTCGTTATTGTATATGAACGAACGTGACGTGTAAAATTTGAATTTAAAAATGATTTTCACACAAACACTCTGAACACACCTACTGAGACTTTTTTTTTTAAGTATTCCAAAATCTGTGACCTAAATAATTAAAAGAGAAAACCTCATCTGAGAAGCTTGAAACACAAAGTGAACATTCATTCTCTCCCTGAACGTTAACGGAGACGAACAATCAGCTGAAGTCGTGAATCAATGAGTGAAAAATGTGTTGTTTGTTTGAAGCAGCTCACCTTCAGTTTGTAGTTTCACTGCTTTTATCACATTTATTCACGAAGCTTCACACCAGTACTCCCACTACAGTGTGTTTGTGTCGTCCACTCTGCAGCAGCTGAGGCTCGAGTGCCTTGCTCGGTGGCACTTTGGTCAGAACCGACAGATGGATGGTTTTTATAGATGATCATTTGTTAAACTAGAATCAGTTTTGTTGTCAGTGTAGATTTTACAGCAACATTATGTTGAAGCAGTCAGTTTAGGTCCAAACCAATAAAACCCAAAATATTCAAACATGGACGCCACATCCATTGAGCTTTTTACAGGTCGTTGAGCGCAGTCTCTAGATGGGGTCTTTCCTACGGTTTAGTTTATTTAAATACACTTGAGCAGATATGAACACTGTTTAGACTGTGCTCTGCAGTCGCACGTTACTATCACAACATAAATACTAATAAAACTATTCTATAAATATGTTTGTATAGAAAAGTCAATAAAAAAAACGTGCAGGTGCAAAGGACCAAATCAACGCAGACTGGAAATGGCTATTGAAGCGCGTGGTGCCTGATTTTACACGTGCACATTAGCGTCTGTAAAAAGGTCAGTGAAGCAGGTGGAGCAGCTCCTCCCCCTTTTTTTTAAATGTGGGTGCAAACTTGTGTTCTTGCTCTCATTTTTTATTTTTACTTCAAACATGTTTTCACCTCTAGCACCTCCTCTTTGAGTTGGTTCATGCAGGTAGCCGCTACGCTAGCCCGCTAGCTTACTAGTCGGTTTATTTAAAGGTTAAAACTGCTAAATCTTTTTCTGACTACTAATCAGACAGAATGGACTAAGCATTGAGTGACATCACACTAATAAAAGCACAAGCGAGTTAAAAAAAAGTGAAAAAGCAGAAATAAAAGTCTTGTGTTGAAAAAGTCCAACATAAGAGCTCTGCAATCTTCATTACACCAGCCTGTCAGACAGGTTTCATGTTTCCACTCTAAAATATAATCAGGCGTCCATGTCTACAATCGTATCCATCCCTGTAAAACTGAAACTTTCTCGTGCCCGACTCTGTTTTTGTCATCGCTCTCAGGCGCTGCAGGCTCTGGGCTACGTGCTCCGCTGCGACGGAGACTTGGACTCACTGAGCGCCGACGAGAAGTCCGACGGCGAGGGCAAGAACGACAGGATGTCCACCAGCTCCAGCTCCACGTCGGTCACCTCCTCCACAGAGACACAGGAGGTGAGGCGCAAACACACAACTGATGCACAAAGACACCAGCGCTGGCATCAGTGACCACAGCGACGCCTCATTAAACACGTCTGTGTGAAAACTAAAACTTCATATTTTTATCTGAATTGTAAAAAGAAACCGGTAAATCCTTAAATTGGTTCTGCTTTAAATGAAATTTGTGTTTGTTTTGGTTCCATCCCGGAAGACGGATTTCTCCTCCGCTGCTCCCCGAGGTTAATTACTGAATCTGACGTTTAAAGAATTTATGAGCTGACACAAATTGTCAGCCTTTGCAGCCAAAGTAGTCGAGTTCACAAGATATTATGTGTATTCTGCTTCTTTTCTGATTATTTCACATTTGCTTGTTTCTGTATGATTAGAACATGCTACTGGATGCCTCATATTTCCCCCTGGGACTGACTGACTGACTGACTGACTGACTGACTGACTGACTGACTGTCTGTCTGTCTGTCTGTCTATCTCTATTTATCTATCTATCTATATCTCTATCTATATATATATCTATATCTAACTATCTCTCTCTATCTCTCTATCTCTCTCTATCTATCTCTTTCTCTGTCTATCTATATATATATATCCATCTATCTTTTTATCTCTATCTATCTATATCTCTATATCTATCTATATATATTTATATCTATCTATCTATATCTATCTTATCTCTCTATCTCTCTCTCTATCTATCTCTCTCTCTCTCTATCTCTCTCTCTGTCTATATATATATATATCCATCTATCTTTTTATCTCTATCTATATCTCTATATCTATATATATATTTATATCTATCTATCTATCTATCTATATCTATATCTATATATATATATATATATATATCTCTCTATATATATATATCTCTCTCTATCTGTCTATATATATATATATATATCCATCTATCTTTTTATCTCTATCTATATATATATATATATTTATATCTATCTATATCTATATATATATTTATATCTATCTATATCTATATATATATTTATATCTATCTATATCTCTCTATCTATCTATCTATCTATATATATATATATATATATATATATATATA